CATAAAATTCAATACTCTCTCTAAAATATATATGATCTTCAAATTTTGTGATAAATATTTTTTCAAGATATATTAATGGAAATCTGATTTTTTTTTATTCGGAAATAAAGCATTTTCAGATCCATGTTCATATGAACATTTTTTCATATTTTGTGGAGAGGAATCTCTCCTAGGAGAATACATAGCGTGTCCCATTTGAAAAAATTGAAATACTCCCAACATCTGAAAAACTGTTGATTTGGCAACATTGCCAATACATCATAATTAAGATTTACAAGATGAATCTTATTTCGTATTGCTATCTTTTACTTTACCAATCAGAGACGCATCCGCTGAAAGAAATTTTTCAGTCTAGAGACGTTTGAAAATATGGTTGAGACACAATGTCACAAGATTGGTTTAAAAAACGGTTTCAAATTTCGTTGGACATGGGTACCTGATTGATTGATTTCTATACCTACCGTATTAGCCTTCGCTTCAAGTTACCTATACAGGGTGTTCCTTAATGGTATGCTAATATTCAAGGGGCCCGAGAAGGGGCCGATTCTTCGACCCATTTCAAGAATGAAACTTCATATGAACATATGTCGTGAACGTCCTAACTTTTGAGATACAGGCTGTCAATTTTGAAAATATGCATAGATAATTTTTTTGTTCACCCTGTATAGCTTTCCGTGATGGCAAAATTCAGTCTGCTATGTGACTGAATCGGTATACAAATTTCAAAATGTTACATACGGTGGTTATCCAGTAATGGATGTTCTGAATGGAGTACTCAAACATCAAAATTTGAAGTCTGGTCTCGTTTTTCCGTTTTTTCTTGAAAATGAAGCGTTCTGTCAAGTATCAACAGGAGGATTTTTTTGTATAAAATTGATTAGCCTTTCATATAATTGTATGAAATTTGCTCACTTTTGAGTAAAATATAAACAATAATTTTCCTGTAACGGTGCCACTGGTAGAGAAAATGAAAATTTTTGTACATCGGAAAATGCACCTTGATACATAAAAGACGTGTACCAAATTTCAAAAAGATGTATACAATATTGTCTCAGTTATCATCAAAATACTGAATATTTTTCAAAACTTCATCACCCTGTATCTCAAAAGTTGAGACTTTCAGGACATACGTTCATATAAAGTTTTCTTGTTAAAAGGAGTCAGAGAATCACCCCCTCAAATATTAGCATGTCTTCAAGGAACACCCTGTATAATTATGTTGAAGTTGAATATAGGTAGTTCCAGAATCCATCTATCAATTTTGTCAAAATCACTTTTGATGCATTCCATTATAATCTAATTCTCTTTTACCACGTACGTAGCAAAACGGATAAGACAGTTGATCAGAAAAATGTATCTACTTCGTGATATTTTGGATAAGAAGAATCTAAGACTAGTATACAATTCACTAATCGAATCTGTCCTGAGATACTGTATTGCAGCTTGGGGTGGCCTGTTCAATAATTCTATGAACTTCCTACAAACAACACAAAACACAATTCTGAAAATAATTTTGAAAAAATCTAGACTATTTGCAACCAAAGATTTATACAGAGAAACTGGAATTTTGAAAACTAGAGAACTTTACATTTACCACTGCCTGATTTGGATTTTCACAAACAAACACAAATTCGAACCTAGTAACGTAATGAAGGAAACAAGATCTGTCATGAAAGCTTCAATCAAAATACCCATTTTCAAAAAGAGTCACACTCAAAGAGTAATTTTCTATTACGGTCCCAAGTTATTCAACCTAGGGTCCCTTGATGGAAATTGACGTTAAAGTCATCTTAACAGGGTACGGACAGATCATCGCTGCATTCTTTTTTAATGATCTAGAGACTTTAGTTTTGTCTATTGGCAGCCCTGACATTGCTGTCACGTCACATCCATGGGCGCTACAGAAAACCATTCAGAATTTTGATAAATAGTTATGTACAGGCCACAGGGTATTTATTTGTTGGGGAAGATCATATGGCGAACGAGTTTTGTAATTATGATCCGATTCTATTCGAAATCGGAAGGTATCTGAGGTTTTCCGGGGTTGGAGATAATGATTGTTTAGTCAAACTTGGAAAATTCAAGATGACGGATCCAATTCGCGAAAATCACGAAGTGTGCGGCCTCTGGTGGCTAACTTTACAAGCCTTGCGAGTATGAACAACAAATATGGCGACCATTGTTTTGAGTTTCTGTGTTTTATTTGAAAATAATTTATTTGTTGAAGTGCATATTCCAGAACCTCATTTTTCCCTGATGAAAAAACTCGAATTATTGCATGAACTTTTATTGTTTACAATGAAGAAGCGAGTACCTACCTTATAATAATATAATATACATTTTCTGAAGCACAGTTAGAATCCTTGTATAAATGTTGGTTGCAATGATTTAATCTTGAGAATAACTCCAAGTCTTCAATTGCTGGAGATCCTTGTTTATGTAAATCGATGATATTGTTCATTTTGAGCAGCCTTTCCAATCATATCTTCTTTTCCCAGCCCCTTCACTAGAATTCCATCTCCTTCATAAAAGCCAGTGATATTTCTTGATGAATTCAATTATTTCTTCATACCTATTTGTAATAGCTGATTGCTTCCAGTCCATGCAAGTGTTGAGTGGATCATTCCGACCATTCCATATGTTTGAAAACTGTGGAATTGTAGTGTGATATCAATGATGAATACCACCATTATCCACATCCAAATAGCAATTTCTCTGCATAAAAAGTAATTTTTTCCATACTGGAAACCTTGTACGTATTTCACGAAGTCAACTCATTATTCACTATTTCGCAAAATGATTTCGAAATAACCAATTTGCAATGAGTGCATACGGCAATGTTTTTGTTGTTCATACTCAGTTTGAAATTTGACGTTGATTTGACGTTAAATAGAGCCATCTATTGGTTCGTGATTTTCGCGAATATATAGCGAAAGAAATTCCTAATTATGATCTGATTCTATTAAAGATTGGTATCTGAAGGTTTTCGGGGTCGAACTTTATGATTTTTTGTCAAAATTGGGAAATTTTAGATAGAGGACCCAATATGGCGAAAGAACTTTGTAATTATAATCCGATTCTATTCAAAAATCAAAATTGGTATCTAGGGTTTTCCGGAGTATAATATATCTACCAAATGGTTGGAGAGAATTCTATTGCTAAAATTCATAACAAAAATGCAAAGTTTTTAAAACTGCCTAATGTCATAAATTATACCGGGCAGTTTCAGAAGAACCTCGGCAAGTTTAGTCGCTAATTCTGGAGGAGACATTCTTGCTTGGAAGTCTACGAATATCGCTGAAGGGTATGTGCAGCAATCTCTCACAAAATAGCAAAAAATTTCGAACCAAATTGTGGGTCACTGAAGTTGATTAAATCAATTGTAATCAGCCATGTACGAATTCTGAATAATAATGTTTTCTATGAAAATTTCACGAAAATTGCATTGGCTCCAGATCTCACTTCTAGTGGTATTCAAATAACCACTGCTCAAAACTGCACTTTCAACATTAGTTTATATATTTATTACTCTACCACAAATTGAAAATATGTAGGATGCAAGAGTGAAAATAACGTGCCTATAAGTTATACTGTATACCTACTTCTTTGTAACTTTCATCAATAAATTATTTGAAAATGACTTTTTATTTAAGGGAGACGGAAAAATCATATGTATAACATGGGGGTAAAGTATATTCTGAAAATATTCTATTCTTTATTTTCCTGTACATTTTACGTATTACTTTTTATCAGCTTACTTTTTGTCCTAACATAGTGTGATATTAGTCACTCCATAAATTCTTCTCCGAGTTGGATTTCCGAAAATATATTTAGCACACATGACATGAGTACAGTAGTTTAGATACCCACATCGAGGTTTTCTCCACTTCTCAATCATAAGGCTCAGCTCATTCAGCTCATAGAAACTACTGCTCAGCTTGAAATCAGAATTCATTCAGTCAATTCAGTCAACCCTGATATACAGCCTAAGATCAGTCTCTTTTGTTGAAATATATTAAGCTTCCAATACAATTTATATGTTCCCTACCTCGCTAAGATTATGGTGGAGTAGTAAACTCTAAAACCAGAGGTTTGTTCATCTATATCTTGGTATAGTTTGAATCAGGAATTCCATATGGAAATTACGTATGATACGTCAATGACCTCAATATAACCTAAAAAACAACAAATGTCAAAAATCTAGTGATTATCCCCAGAATTGAATAAGGATGGAACTATATAACTGTTTCACAAACACTTTAGAGTGAGAGGAGACGAGGATCTGTCCGTACCCTGTTAAGATGACAAATACGTCAGTTTGCATCAAGGGACCCTAATTCAACCTATTGCCTACAAGTATCAAGATAATTACTAAACTACCGCATTTCAAAAAAGAAATAAAAAAATTCATTTCAGATAAACCAGAGATTTCAGACATTTTCAATTGATCTTACAGTCGCTCTCCTTTTCTCATTTCTCCTCACATATTATTTCCCATTTCTCTTCCTGTTCTATGGTATTACTATTGTATTTATATTATATTAGGAAAATATATTGGTATAAGTTCATAAGTTTCTCCACGATGGTTGGAACAGAGCACAACACAAGCATCCTGAATGCTGTATCTTTTCCTTCCTGACTGGTTTTCCAAAGAATAATTTATCCACAAATTGTTACTTGTAACTGTTGCTATTGCTGAATAAATTGAAATTGAATTGAATTGAAATTGAAATTTGAAGGCGACATTGTTTGTTTGTTAAACTATACTTTTCATTTATTATAATGAATAAAACAAACTGAATTTGACATCATTTTTATCTCATCGTTATGACACCCCGTTGACAAACCTAAATATCAATTTAGAGGCATTTGACCTTGAACAAAAAATTTGCCTACGGTGTCTTTCTGCTTTCTGTCACCCCCCTCCATCATAGGAACAAAGCCGTATATCACGCGCCTATCATGAATATTGACCTTTCAATTGATGTTTCTCGTTGCAGATATCGGCAGCTACTAACAACGATTCGGCGAGCCGCCGAGACGCCTCCAAAGGCCAGTGCGTCTGGTACGGCGAATGCAACCTCACGCCCGTCAGCAACACCAAGCAAAACTGTCCCTACAACGGTCCACCGAAGCCCCTTAACGGTACCGGCATCGAAATACTCAAGAGAAGATGTCCCGACATAGATCCCGCTTTGACGTGTTGCGACTCGGACCAGCTCCACACCCTCGAAAAAAATCTGGAGTTGCCGGATACGATGCTGGGAAGGTGCCCTTCCTGTATGGCGAATTTTCTGAGACACATCTGCCACATGACCTGCTCACCGAACCAGGCCGAGTTCATGAAAGTGAACAGCACCACCGTGAATCCCAAAACGAATAAAACTTATATCACGGAACTTGATGTCTACATCTCCAACGAGTATATCACTGGCACTTTCAACTCTTGCATACAGGTCAGTGTGCCGTCCACTGGTCGCAAGGCACTGGATTTGATGTGTGGAGATTGGGGAGCCTCCAGATGTACCCCCCTTAGGTGGTTCATGTATATGGGGAATAAGAAGACACCGCAAGTGCCGTTCCAGATAAATTGGCATAATCAGACGGGTAGTAAAAAGGGTTTTGTTCCCATGGATCCGACAACTGTTCCTTGCAGTAAGGCTTTGAATGTAAGTTTTTTTTTCCACCACTAGCTATAGAACCTACCATTATCCAATACTGTCTGTAGATTAATCGAGGAGGTGGTACATTCATTATTCCAAATTTTTTGGAATTTTCTCTCATCGTTTCTATAAAATAAAAATATGAATATTATTTCAATATACGTGTATTAAGGACAAATCAGATGATTTGCCCCAAAATGTCACTGCATTCAAAGAATTTTCCTATCAGAGAGCTTAAAAGAAAAATTCACTAGCTTGTCAGTGACAATTTGTATTGAAAAAAATTTGAAGAAGATAAATGAAGGTAGGTCAGTGACAATTTGTATTGAAAAAAGTTTGAAGAAGAGAAATAAAGGTATATAGAAAAAATATCAAATTTTCACTCATCTTTGGACGTTTCGGGACCGAATCTGCTCCCGTTTTCAACATAAAAAAAAAATGGTTATTTTAATAGCAAAGTCGCATCTGTCTTGAAACTATTCAGTTCTCAGTGACAATTGGTGACGTTGGCAATCAAATGAGTTACAGGATGTTTTCATTAATTAATCTTGAATTTACCATTTTCATTTTCAGATTTCAGTAGTGAATACCATGTTCTGTCTATATCAACTGAAGAAGAAGCAATGCTATTGTCTCCGTTCAAGAAAATGGTAAATTCAAGATTGATTAATGAAAACATTCTGTAACTCATTTGATTGCCAACGTCACCAATTGTCACTGAAAACTGAAAAGCTTCAAGACAGATACGACTTAAAATAATCATTGTTTATGTTGAAAACGGGAGCAGATTCGTTCCCAAAACGTCCAAAGATAAGTGAAAATTTGATATTTTTTCTATATACCTTTATTTCTCTTTTCCAAACCTTTTTCAATACAAATTGTCACTGACAAGCTAGTGAATTTTTCTTTTAGGCTCTCTGATAGGAAAATTCTCTGAACACAGTGACATTTTGGGACAAATCATCTGATTTGTCCTTACTACATGTATATTGAAATAATATTCATATTTTTATTTTATAGAAACGAGGAGAGTAAATGCCAAAAAATTTGGAATAATGAATGTACCATTATTCAATCTTTCTCTAGGCGTAAAGTGTGTTTTTCTACTTCTGTCAAAAAGACTGCACTTCTCAAATATATTTTGTGTGCCTAAAGTGTACAATAGTAGGGAAGCCCAAGTGGGGATTTCGGGATTTGCTCAAGCGCGGCAGATTAACATGAGAAGTACTCCCACCATACCTGGGCTCTTTATATGGTGTCGAAAGATTAGGGCAGCCGATCAAATTAATAAAAAAAAAATCGATCATCAGATATACTCGAGCGCATCAGATTAAGACATGGTATGTTAGTTACATGCAGAAAAGTGTGCAATTCAATAATCTGACGACTTGGGCGTGACATAAGAAAATGGGAGAGCCACAAAGTTGCAAAAAAAGTTACCTGTACATTCTTGAGCGCGGTTAATTTTTTTCTTATTTTGAAGGCAATTAGTCACGGATCACGGAAATAACATAATCTGCCGATTTGCACAAGCCGAAGTAGCGAAAATCATCAATTAAGTATGGTGCTTGCAGCCACTGGGAACTATGTATGTAATTGTGGTAACGTAGGAAACTGAAAAAAAAGTATCACTTCGTATATTGTTATCAATCAGCTCATAAGGAGGAATCTGAAAATGCAATAAAATACAAGGTGTGCTATAAGAAAAAGTATAACTTTGATACGCCACGCATTTTTGAGTAACCCTGTACAACGCAAAATATTCCAGAAATGTACTGCTCATGCTATCTGTGTTGTTTTTCTTTGTAAATATTTACAACTATATCAACTATGACTTTGTCAATGAGAATTTTCTTCCGACAATTAAGTATATTTTGATTTGATTTGAACTTAAGAAATACTAATTTATATCGAACTTATGACTACTATTTATGTAAAACGATTTATATCACGCGGTATAAGACTGTCTCTCTGACACTGGCTGCTCGACTGAATGACGGCAGTTGTCCGGCCGTTTATATAATAGATCCCTTGGTAGGCTTTGTTTCTCGAATGTTCTCGAATGATTTTCCGTACCCTTCTTTTTGTTCTATACCTTTTCAACTTCAATTTCGGAAAAAGTAATCTCGATTTCAGAATTGGTTAGTTCGATTTCAGAAATGGTAAACTCAATTTCAGAATCGGTGAGATGAATTTCAGAAAAAGTCCATTCAATTTCAGAAATGGTAAGTTGTATTTCAGAATTGGTAGGTTCAATTTCAAAAAAAAAATCCTTATACTTGTTCGAAATGTTTCCAATTGTATGTGAGATTAACAAACCATATTTACAATATTCAACTCGTCAAGAACAATTCAATAACATAATTATAATCTCAATTTAATCCACAAATGCCTTCCATCCGAATCGCTGGAAGATAATAGCGTTGCACATGATTATGAGAATGCAAACACATTTCAGGTGTTATCATTCTCATTGAATGCTCTGCACATTCCTCAAGACATCGCATGAATTCTATCTGGTTGAGCAAGCTGTTCGGATCCCCAGCTATGACCCTTTGGCGATGCTCTTACAAGAAGCTCTTCACTTCTGACTTGAAGGCACCCCATATATGTTCTGATTCAACATAGGGCTCTCAAACACCGTTCATCCACTTCAAACAATCTTCTCTTTTGCAATTAAAAACATTTCAAACATATAAAAGGATTTCATCTTCTGAAATTGAACCTACCAATAATAATTCTGAAATACAACTAACCATTTCTGAAATTGAATGGACTTTTTCTGAAATTCATCTCACCGATTCTGAAATTGAGTTTACCATTTCTGAAATCGAACTAACCAATTCTGAAATCGAGATTACTTTTTCCGAAATATAACTTACCGATTCCGAAATTGAAGTTGAAAAGGTCTTAGAACAACACCTCTCTCTCTAATAATTGTTCCATCGATTGTTTCCGGAACATTCCAGAGTCTTCTGTCACGTTATTTGTCACCGCGGCATATATTGAGTGTTTGGAAATATGCTGGTACATATAGAAATCATTGGGATGTTGAAGAACAAACTGGGATGCGTGTTACAGGATGATTGTTGTACTCCTGCCTTCCTGACGATGTTTGTAGAGCCCCTCTAAGGGAAATATCATTGCAATATTTTTCGGTTATCAGAAACACGTGGGGCGCATAAACTATTAATATCTGATGCGCTCGAGTATATCAATGTGATTTTTTTCACACTTTCAAACACCTGTACACGCACTCCCCACCAGTGAAAGGTTATATATCATTTGAACTTTTTTTCATTTTCGCATCTAATCTTCACAATCTGATACGTCCTCCACGACGATCCAGTAAATCCCTATTTAGTCTCTTTGTCTACCCTACTACAATTTCTTAATATGGAAATATTGTTTCATTATTTTACGGAAAAGTGTGAAAAAGAGTATACTTTTTTCACTGTTGTTGCTATGCGATGGAATGAGTGCTTGCGTGAAAGGTGCACATACATACACTGCTTTGTTGTTAGGCTATTTTTTTTACAAGTCTGTTCGAACCAAGGGGTGTGGCTGCAAAATGGTCGTTCTCGATAGCCACGCACCACACACTTTGATATTGCATCATTTTTGTTCGAACATACTTGTTCGTTGAACAAAACAGCCCACCAACAACGCAGTCTATCGGCTCCTTTACGGGATTCAGCAAGGCAGCAAGCGAACAAATCAAGGCGACTGACTTCGTATTTCGTATGGAGTGCCAGTGAAATAGAGATGGGAGCGGGAAGATGGCGCCACGATATCCTCGCGTATTAGATAATAATTTGCTCGCATCTCATGTATGATTTGATCAGCATCGCTGAACGCGAGCGGGTGAGCGATTTATTCAAATTTGTCGAAGGTGGCTCTGCGTATTTCGTGCTTAGAAATCAGGTGTTATCAATAAAGTGACATGAAATGAGTAAATATACTTGATAATTGTTCTATTTTCACTTTCAATCAATGTGGACGAAAGGAATTATAGATGAATTGTTAAATAAACGCGTGCGAATTTGACAAACATTTATTTCCAACTGCTGAAAAGGTAGTTCTCGTCTCAAGAGCTGTACATATAAAAACAGGATGTTTTTGTACAATAAAAACTATACCGTGTTGTTCGAGGTTTCAGCTATTTTTATATATGAAGATTCAACGATATATAACAATAATAATTGCGAAATATCATTTAATCATTCACATCATAAGTTGAATGAGGTTGTCCTCTTTTTTGACAGTTGTAGGAAAAATATTGTATGTAACACGTGCGTACAGTGTTTTTTTGCTCAGGAATTGTCAACATTTCCTAGTCGGAAAAAAGTACCAGTTTTCGCACTTGTTACATAGATAACTATTTTTCTACCAAGGTAGTTTTCGCCATTTTATCGAGAAATAATTATGAAACATATAATATAATCAATTAATTTTCAGGTAGTTTTACCTTCTTTGTTATGTGTCATGCACCAAACCACCAAAGCAATATACAGTGTCATTCATAAAGTAGGCATCATATTATGTGAAACACTTAATAATAATTTATTTGGAAATTCGACTTGGGCTTAAAAAATATGAAAAATGAACTACTCGGTTGCGGTCTTACTACATCAAAAGTTACATTTTGTCAAAGTAACCGCTGAGAATAGGCTTATTTGTTTGAATTTTAAAATGATGTTAATGAGAAAAGTTTTTTCTATTCCAATTTAATATATATATATTATGTGTCTCGAATTTGAATGTTCTATTAAAACTTTTATTTTTTGATATTTTTTCAATTCTTATTTATCGCTTGGAGCGCACGAAAGGGAATCCCTATAATGTCTAATATCATAATATCGAAAAAAAAATTAAAAAAAAAAAATAACAACTCCACAGTAAACGCTATTTGACGATGACGTGAGTCATTTTGATTATAGGATACACCTTTTTTATCACTGTAAAACTGATTGTTCTAGTAGGTATGCGCCTGATATGTAACTCCA